GGCAAAATTGGGGTCCTGGTAGTTGGGGGGAGGCTACTTCTTATAATGGCGAAATGACATGTTCTTTTTGGAAAACCACTGTGTGTTCCTTTCATCTTCTTTGGGTGGTCCCTCCATTTTTCATCTATTACTTGTGTGCTAGCTTGTTTTAGGGTGGCTTGTGAGGACCGGGCAGGACAGTGTTTTCTTCTTCGTACGGTCTAGGATTGCTATGGATCTGGAATGACACAAACGCTCCTAACAAAACCAGCATCTTTCAAAATTGTGAACCATAGATTTTTAATTGTGCAATTTAAAAAAAAAGAAAGAAAGAAAACAAACTACTCTCACAGAAAGGATCGCATTCTAGTCTCTCCTCTAGATCACACACTGAGTGAACGCCCTAACTCCCGCCCTAACTCCCACCGGAACAGGAAAAACCAGCTCCTAGTAAACAAGGATGTTAACCTACCACCCACTAAAGACAAGAAAATCAAAGCAATAAGCAAGCACCTGCACCTGAGCTGGTGCAAAGAGCTGAAGGGAACGGTCATCCCCAGCGTGAGTAAGGTGTGGGGAAATTCACAGAGTGGCACTGACAGTATAAATTACTACAACTTCTGGGGAGAGGAGAGGAAGAGTTTCATTTCCCATTTTGTATAAATTCCGATTTTAACTGCACACTCCTGGTGGTGATGTGGGCCAAGTATTGGTCCACTAACAGTTCAAACTCACCAGCTGCTCAAACCCACCAGGACCGGGATGGAAAAGAGGTGAGTTATCTGTTTCCATAAGTATGTACATTATCAGAAACCCTAGTCTATGCCCTACAACATTTCTAAGAGTCACCATCTGCTTGATGGCAGTGGGTTTGGTTTTTGGTTGTCGTACACTCTTTGCCCCAAGGAGTCCTTGTAACACAAATGGTTAAGTGCTCAGACACTAACTGAAGGGTTGGCAGTTCAAACCCACCCAAGATTCTATGTGTGAAAAACCAGGCAACCTGATTCAGTAAAGACTGTCGGTGCTGAGGTTGCTGCTGCTGCTGCTGCTGCTGCTGCTGTTCTTGGTTGGTCCTATTGCGTCTAATTTAACTCACAGTCAAGAAAACCCCATGGGAAGTCCTACTTTGCCAGATGAGGCTGCTGTGAGTTGGAATCAACATGATGGCCGCCAACAACCACAATTTACTTCGTGGCCCAATGATTCTACTTCTAGAAACTTAATCTAGTTAGTATGCAAACCTATACATCCTAGGCTGCTCAACACAGACCTGGTTAAAATAACAAGTACAAAGACTATGAAAATTCATCGATGTAAGTCATGCTACGAAGTCTAAAGAAATATTTTGCATCCATTAAGAAATGATTCCCTTGATCTTAAAGGCTCGAAGATAAACAAGCGGCCATCTAGTTGAGAAGCAACAAAGCCCACATGGAAGAAGCACATCAACCTGTGTGATCACAAGTTGTCGATAGGATCAGGTGTCAGGCATCAAAGACCCAGAACAAAAAATCATATCATTGTGAATGATGGGGAGTGCACAGTGGAGACCCAAAGCCCAGCTATAGGCAATTGGGTACAGAAGGGTCATGGGGAGGAGATGAGCCAGTGAGGCTGCAGTATAGCATTGACTAAAAATACAACTTTCCTCTAGTTCTTTAATGCTTCCTCACTCCCCACCCCTCCACCCCCAACTATCATGATCCCAATTCTACCTTACAAATCTGGCTAGCCCAGAGCATGTACACAGACAAGATCTGGAAATACAGGGAATCCAGGATAGATTTGATCTGGAAATACAGGGAACCCAGGACAGATAAACCTCTCAGGACCAATATCGACAGAAGCCATACCAGGAAGGGAAGGGGAAGGTGGGGAGAGATAGGGGGAACCAAACACAATGATCTACCCCCTCCCAGGGGGATGTACAACAGAAAAGTGGGTGAAGGGAGGCATCGGTCAGTGTAAGACATGAAAAAATAATAATATATAAATTATCAAGGGTTCATGAGGGAGGGAGAGAGAGGAGGGAGGAGGGAAAATGAGAAGCTGATACCAAGGGCTCAAGTAGAAAGCAATGTTTTGAGAATGATGATGGCAACAAATGTACAAATGTGCTAGACACAATGGATGTATGTATGGATTGTGATAAGAGTTGTACGAGCCCCCAATAAAATGGTTTAAAAAAGAAAAAAAAGGGGAAAAAAAAGAAATGACCCCGTAATATTTGTTGAAATAGTTTTTATTTGTTGAATCAGAAAAAATGTCTATTATATAATTAGATATAATCTAATTACAGTTAAGGAAAAAAAGGAGAGGGGCAGATGTTATGAATGGTTCTCTCTGAGGGGTGGTTTATATGTTATTTTATTTATTAACCTAATCCTTTCTATACGTTCTAAAATTTCCCCCAATACACATGTTCTTATAAAGAAAATACTAAGGAATCCCACGTGGGTAGAAAAGCAAAATAATTTGCTCCTCACAAAAAATAATTTGCTTTTCTCGTTATGGGCAAAAGCTTCTCCGCTTCAAAGACTAAACTGCAGGTAGCAGACGGCAAGCACTTCTAGGATCTCCCTTCCGAATCTGCTCCCCCTGCTACGCCAGTAGTGCCAGCAATACTAACGAGATATAGTTTATATTCACTGCTCATAGTCCTTAATGTACTCAAGGCCAGCATTAGCACTCTCAATTTACGAGTAAGCAATTGCCCACAAACTCATACAGGTCACAGGTAGACGATGGTATGGCCACAAGCCTATTGGTTTTCTTTCTTACTGTGCATGATACATGAACAGGAGCTAAGAAGGTCACAGTAAGTCCAAATCCTGACCCAACCATGCACTTGCAGAATCTAAAATAAATCACCTACCAACTCTATGCCTCAGTTTCCTCACCTTACATTCAAAAGAAGACAATACCCAGGTGCTGCTTATTATCACAATCAGCATATAACACCGTGCCTGGCACGTGGAAAGCACTTGTAAAGAAGTTAGTAAAAAAGCAAGGAACTTGCATACCATTCGGGCAAATCTTTGGGCTTCCGTCACACGTTCTGTCAGCATCATAACCTCTTCATCCTGTGTGGGAAAGACAGGCAGCTTCTTCCCAATTAAGTGTTCTATGCGCTGGAAGAGTTCTACATCATACCTGAGGAAGGAAAACGGGTGAGGCTTAGTAGACGGACAGTGCTAAGGCCTGTCCTTTCCCACACTGTGGTGTTGCACGCTCCAAGGCCTTGTGAGTCATGGTGGAATAATAATGAGTCTCTTCTTAATATGGGTTATATGCAACCTTCTGCAGATGGCCCAGTAAAAGATCGCTTAACAGGAAAACCTGGAGTATATCATATTTTTTTCTTTAAAAACCTACAAACATTCTGAGACTTTTTGGAATGAGGGAGCGGTAACTGCTAACCCCAGCAGGTGAAAGAAGTAGTTATCACACGTTGTGCTTCTACACACTCTGGGAGGCTGGGCACTGGGCTGTTAACCACAACGCCAGCAATTCAAAATCACCAGCCGCTCCGAGGGATCACGAGCGACGGTTTCAAGCCCCCAGGGGCAGTGCTATCCTGTCTTACAGGGTCCCTAGGAGTTTGGCTTTATTCTAGACTTTTAACATAGATCATCTCCAAACTTTACCAAAAGTCTGCCGGGTAGATGCTATTATTTCTATCTCACAGATGATGAAACCGGGATCGGGAGGCTAAGGTGAACAGTAAAGTAAATGTGAGAACAGGGTCCGAGTGAGCCCGACCCCCGTTCTGCCCTGGTCTCTGGCGCGCTTTGTGGGGTGTGGATTCACTCACTGTGTGACAAAAGTAATGGACTTTCCCGACCGCCCTGCCCGGGCCGTTCTTCCCACGCGATGGATGTAATCCTACAACAAAAACCGAACGGAGGTTTGATTTAGACAGGAGACACGTAAAAAGCTACGTCTCCGAAACAAAACGGAGCCATGCTGGAACGGGGGAAACGAGCAGGCAATTAGTGGGGATTCATTCATTTCAGTGTTCTGTGGCTCCTCACAGCACCACATAGACCCAATGTTCACCTCTCCTTTATGCAAAGGCCAAACTCTAAAGCACAGCCCAGGGCTAAGCAGCATCCTGGGCAGAGAAAGGGAGCGGTGGAGCAGCAGCAGAGCTGGGTTACAGCTCTGGTGCGACCACCTGCCAACTGCAGGATCATCTGCAGGTGCATGGCTTCTTGGAACCATGGCGCCTCCCTAAAAAGGAAGGATGGAGACACACACCAAGAAAACTGCATGACAATGGCTCCTGTCGACAGAAGTTAAAGCCCAGACACATCAGTTGTCCTCAACCAGTTGCTACTTGGTGGACAGAGGCCAGGGATGCTACGAAGCACGCTGGCACACACAGGACAGCTCCTACAGCAAACAAATATGTGGCCCCAAAGGTCAACGACAGTAGTGAGGCTGAGACACACCATGACCAGTCACTTCTGATGAAACGAGGTCAGCCAGATCGGCCTCCCCCGACCCCTTCTACTACAAACAGGCAAGAACCCCTCTTGGCAACCTTTATGCACGTTAGTTATAGTTGGATTAACACCGCATCGGCCAGATGAGGAGGATGGGTCAATTAAAAGCTGTTACACTTTAATATTTTTAATTAATCAAAAACAAAACAAATCCTCTCCTCTAACTAAGGAAAGACAGAAAACAATATTACATTTTGGGCCTAGAAAGGAACCATGGCCTAATGGGTTACATGTTGGGCTGCTAAGTGAAAGGCTGGCAGTTCAAATCCACCAGTTGCTCCTCGGGAGAAAGCAGAGGCTTTCTATTTCCGTAAAGATGTACAACTTTAGAAACCCCAGGAAGCAGTTCTGCTCTGTCCTGTAGGGTCGCCAGGAGTCAGAAACGACTTGACGTCAAGTTGGAAGCAGGACTCACCTTGGAATGGGTGGGAATGTCAAAGTTGACTACAACATCCACATGAGGAATATCTAAGCCTCGGCTGGCGACATCAGTGGCTAGAAGAATGGACCGAGCTTTCGCCTTGAATTTGTTCAGGGATCCTAGGCGCTTGGTCTGAGAGGACGGAAAAAAAAAAGAAGAAAAGATTAAACGAGAAGAATTTTAATCTTGGAACACTAGGGAATCTTGAACTCCAAGCCTATCTATATGGAAGAGACGACTCAACTATACAAGAACCAAGAGATGGAAACTGCTCGCGGATGTCTTTCTTCCCCAGCGAGTCTAGGCTGGGGCTTCGTGGCCCAAAGCAGAAACCGGGAAAGAGCAAACAAAACCAAAAAACTTAAGACTAGAAAATAGTAGCATGAACTAGAGATGGTTCAACAGGCTAGAAAGTAAATGGAAATATCTTATGAAAGACCAGGGAATCCCCATCAAGCTAGGGCTGAAGAAATCAACTCAACAGCCCCCACGACACACCACTACCAATGGAGTATTTCGGAATCTGAGACTCCTGAGAGGAGGAAGCACGCATCATTCACACAGAGCAACACTCCAACACCCCCCAAAAGTAGAGCAGACAACAGGCGTTACTCTTCCTGTGCGTCTCCTGCGAGGTTTCTTTTTCTCAGCCACCAGGTCACAACTAACAAAGCCGAGGAATCCTTACCTGGCTCATCTGTCCGTGGAGAGGGATGGCAGTGAAACCAAGATTCCGGAGGAGCAGAGCGGTTCTCTGGGTATTGTTGCAGGTGCTGCAGAATATCATGAAGGAGTTCCCAGCCAACTCGTTTAGGATATACACCAGGTAGGTATCCTATGTCACAAACCCAAAACAATACATGTTCATTGAATCAGGGGGGGAAAGAGGGTGGAGGCCTAGACATAGAAACTGCAGAAAAGACTAAGCCTATCGCTGATTCCCAATTATTCTGGCCAGGTCTGCCTTTCTCAACCAGCATTATCTTCTCTGTGAACCACAGACAGCCTGCTGTCGAGCTCAAGGTGTATAGTCAGCCATCAGGAAACACTTTAGGTCACACACAAAAACTAGTCTAAATGAGGAAGCTACAGACCATATGATAAATGATGAAAAACTGCCTCAAGGATGCGGTTGGGGCGTCACGTGCTGACGTCATTGCTATGGTTTAATATACTGTGAGTTCCCAGGAAGCTCGGCTCATGGTGAGCATATGCACACCATGCACCCTGAAGCCGAAACAAAAGCAACCAAGTCTGAACCACAGCTCGTAGCTAGATAAGGGCTGACCCCTGCCTGTTGGATGCCTTGGTGAGGAAGGGGTGAGAAAGGCGGGAGCAGTCACAGCAAATACTTCACCTTGAACTTGGAGGGAATAAAAAGGTAATATTGCTGTAATTTCTCAACAGTCTGGTATTTAGAGGAAACGGCACATTTCACGGGATTCTTCAAAGCTGCTCGCTGAAGTTTTTGCACCTGAAGAAAGAAAACCTAGAATAGTACACTAATTCCTCAATGCTGTTTTTATTTATCATGCTGTTATCTTCATTTGTTGTTGTTATTTATCAGTTCTTATAGAGGAGAGCACAGGAATCCCAGGAAAGGTCACCTTCTTGGTCATGGTTGCAGAGAAGAGGAACGTTTTCCGGTCTCGGGGGATCACTTTGAGGATCTTATCAACCTAAATTACAGGGAGGAAAGAACACACATTTAGATTAGACACCTGCAGTCCTCTAGATAGAGAGAGACTATCAACCTATACACATCCCTCTGGCATCACTTGGGTATATTCGAAAATTCAATTCAGTTGCGCTATAATTTACTTAATATTTACCATTTGTTATTATCCCAAATTGTTCTAAAACACACACAAAATGCCATTCCAAGAAAATAACCTTCTGAATGAGCAGATTACAGGTAATCTTAAAAGAAGGGGGAAATTAGTTGCTCTCTACCAAATGATACTGAAGTGATCACGACTGGGTCACCGAAGAAGACAGACATTTGGGTGCATGGGGATATATACCGCACGAGGAAAGGGAAAGCTGGCTTTGGTATTTCTCGTCTCTAAAGTGTTGAAGTTTTGTCAGATCATTTTCTTTAGAGGCACTGGCACCATGAAGGGCCACAGGGATGTTTAAACTAACTGCTCCCGGAGCAGTGAGAACCTCTAGGAGGTTCGTTGTAAGGAGCCAAAGGTTGGAAGGAGGCCCCTGGGGTGCTCTAAGAAGAGGAAAGAGACCGAGAACTTACCTCTGTCTCAAAATCCATATTCAATATTCTGTCGGCTTCATCCATGACCAAGTATTTCAGAGCTCTTAAGTTGAAACCTTTTGTATTTTCCAAGTGGTCAATCAGTCGACCAGGTGTTGCTACAAGAGGGAAACAGCAATGTTTAAGAAAAAGGCAAAAAGAAATAAAGTCATTGACTCCACGAATTGTTTTAAATTAATCAGTTATCAAAAGCTGCTCCTCAGAGTCTGTCCATACAAGTAAGTTATACGCAATATTGATAGGCGTTCTCCAAGCATCATTGCCAATGTTTTGCTTTCATCAATTACTCACCTATCACCACATGCGGTTTCTTCGCCAGGGCCAGAGATTGGGACATTGAATCAATTCCACCTACAATCACGGCTGTGGAAATGTAAACAAAAAAGAGATCCTTCATTTGCCCCACTTGCTCATTAACGGTCTTAAGCCAATGCTACATTATCGCTTGAAATTTCCCTCTTCTCTAAGAATTAAACGATCCTCAAAGCTGAAACAGCAAGTCAGCTCTGTAGGTCCAAGAACTTAACCCGAGTAAGAAAGCTCCACCCATTCTCTCGGGCTCCTTTCCTCCCACACACTTACCGGTTTGTACCCCAATGGAGGAGCCCAGAGCCTCAAACTGCTCTGAGATCTGAAAGGCCAACTCCCGCGTCGGGGTGAGAACCAGGGCAAACAGACGCTGGGGCGTCTCCAGTAGAGCATTCAGAATGGGCAGAGCAAAGGCCCCCGTTTTCCCAGAGCCCGTTTCTGCCAGCCCAATGATATCCCGACCTGGAAGAAAAAGAAGATACCTTCTACCAAGGAAGCTCCAGTTCCTATAATGACACAGTGTAGTCTCATGGTAGACAGTGCACGAGCATTTGATGAATTAGGGGGTTAGAAAGCACAAGAACTTACGCTACTTGACTCATGCAGCAGTGAACACTATCCACTGCCCACAGCTGAAATGATCAATGATACCCCACAAAGCAACACTCCCTTTGTGCGGCTGATTACTTTTCTTAACCATCTCCTTTTTTCTTCTCAAAACCCCTAAGCCTTTTCAATATTAGCGTCGGTGTGAAATCCACTAGCATGCCTAGGCCCCACGACAGACAGTACTTTTTGTCATCTGCCACATTGCCAACACTTAACACAGGTCCTCTGTGTATTCTTTCCATCTTCTCTGGATGCGTCCTGCAGCAGCCACTATTTTGTCCAGTTTTTTCGGAGACTTGACTTCGGTGTAGGCTATGCTGAGCGTGTTCTTCCTGGGTGGGTTTCTAACTCCAGGTCTTTGCCCATTTCGTTATGAGAGGGAGTCGGTCTTCTAGAGCTGCTCTCTGAAAGGCTCGCTTCAGCACCTCGCCCTCAGCAACTCTCCCACGTGCCCCAGCAACTCTACGAGGACGAGGAAGTCTCAGATCTCCCGACAGCCACGCCGCTCGCCTCTTCCTTTCCTGTCTTTTCTTCACGAGTGTTCCTGATGTCCCCCACAGCTCCACAGGTCTTCGCTCATTAGTGTTCAATGTGCCAAATCTGTTCTTGAGATGTTCTCGAAACGCAGGTTGGATATATTCAGTTCATGCTTTGGCTCTCGGAAATGATTTCACTTCTCTTCAGCCTGAACTTACATGAGAAATTCCTGGTCTGTTTCACAGTTGGCCCCGGGACTAGTTTCAGCGGCTGGTATTGAGCAGCGGCTGGTATTGAGCTTCTCGTTATCTCTTCCCACAGATGTAGTCAATCGGATTTCTGTGTAGGCCGACTGGAGAATCCACCTATGTAGTTGCCTTGTATCGGTGGAAAAGGTATTGGCAATGAAGAAGTCGTTGATCTTGCGAAATTCTATCATGTGACCTCCAGCTTCATTTCTATCACCAAGGTCCTTTTTTTAGAAATCATTTTCTTCACTTTTTTAAAATCATTTTATTGGAGGCTTGTACAACTCTTATCACAATCCATACATCCATCGTGTCAAGAATTTGTGGCCATCATCAATCTCAAAACATTTTCATTCTACTTGAGCCCTTGGTATCAGCTCATTTTTCCCCTCCCAGCCTCACAGACCCTTGATAATTTATAAATTATTATAATTTTCTCATGTCTTATACTGTCCGACATCTCCCCTCACCCACTTTTTTGTTGTCCGTAGATCCTTGTGATTGGTTCCCCCTTTCTATCCCACCTTCCCCTTACCCTCCTGTAATGGCTACTCTCATTATTGGTCCTGAAGGGTTCATCTGTCCTGGATTCCCTATGTTTCCAGTTCTTATCTGTACCAGTGTACATCCTCTGGTCTAGCCAGATTTGTAAGGTGGAGTTGGGGTCATGATAACGGGG